CATAAGTGTCGTAATCTTGTTTATAATCAAACTTCGTTTTCCTTCGAACACATCGATTGCTGATGTTCATTAACTCGTCATCGAATTTGAGTTCATTAACTGTGTTCAGAGGTGTAGGAGGCAAATTAAAAGTGGGGAGCCCAAAGTGTATTTGGACGAACGAAGCCACCACAGGCGCATCCATTACAGCCCTGGAAGCTCTTGGGTTCTGGATTAAATCTTATGCATTCTTCTGCTTTTCCTAATTTGATGTATTTTTAATGGGACAGATTGGAAAGTGGGGGCAGCCTCCCTTCATTCTACCCCACTGTTGTATCAGTGGTTAAAATCGATAATTATTGAGTTATTTGTCTATATGTTTTGTGATTTAAGTAATTTAATTGTAATTGTTGGCCATCGTTGTTATATATAACTGCAGGTAATCATGGTAACTCTTTGAAAAATTAACCTTTAACTAGGTGAAATAATTTTAGTGGTTTTCTCCACCACTAAAAAAATGCATATAATCTACTTATTCCAGTGATAATGAATCCATACTTTCCAAGTATCATCAGCCAGGTACTTTTGTAACCAATATTGTAGTTGACGTTCTTTTCAGATATAAGACGTTGGAGATGTCGTAACACGATTATTGCACTTTTTCTTGTAATTGCAGAATAAAGTTGAAGATATTCTTTGTAGCTGAACGATCGATGTAAATAATGTGACATTAGTTTCTAAGAGTCATTGTAGCTAAGTGTTATTCTCCTCTCTGTCCAGACAACTAGACACCCAACAATTAAATATCTAAAAAAAAATGAGGAAGTAGGACATTTAGACACCTAATAATTTTAGAGGGGTGTTACAATTTTTAAAACTTCGTAACATACTTAAAGTAATAGAAAGACATAACAAAAATGCAAGCAATCGACGTATACGTAGTAGTCGTACATTTTCGGATGAGGTACAATCTCAATTTAATAATAAATTTTTATTAATATGTTGTAAAGTTTGCCATAGGTTATTCTTTACGTGGAATTATTTTTCAAAATTTTTCACTATTATAAATCTGTGGCATTCAGGTTCACTTTATCTTAAGGTTAATCTGAAAATTCTCGAAATAATACAGATTTAGGAAATGTTATGCAAAGAATAAATTGAACCCACAAAGTGAAATAAACCAGCACATAAGTCAATACTTATACAAAAAACAACACAAAAACTTTATTCACAATTGAGAGTGTATACCTATCATTTCTCACACCTTTTTTATCTTCTGGCTGCTGGTATTAAGAGGCTTTTTAAAAGCTTTCTTACTGGACAAAGACAAGAAAAAATGTATATTCCTACAGCACAAGGACAAAGAGAATTTTCATTTACCATGCCAAATTCACCTAAAACTTTGAGTGTGTTATAGCAGAATCCAATTCGATACGTCACTGATTATTACAAACAACATTTATAATGCATTCAAAACCAACTCGTACCACTTTGTACACGTATCTGTAACACCCCCTGAGATGGGCTTGGCCACACCCGTGAGTAGACACAATTATAGTGCCATACACAGTAAGAATATTGTAATCTCCATTTTAATAACTTTTACATTTCTATAAGCAAAGTTAAAGCTGTGTTGCAAAATTAAAACATCATCTTAAGAAAACTAATATGATTTGAATAACATTGAGGTTCAAACTACGATTTGATCTAAACATTAACTAAGTTTTTCCTGTAAAATATTGACACATCAGTGTTATTACCATAATAACATCATTAACTTCCTCATTATCAAATTTCTTCCTTCTAAAACAACCTTCTAATATCTTACTTTTTAGATGTATCTGTGTATAAAGCTCCTAATCTACATTAGTTATGACTAAAATAGTCATGAATTTCAATTTTCAATAACTAGTATAGAACATATCTTTGGTTAAGTATATTCACATAATTTTTTGAAATTTGTGCTGGTTTTCTGCATGTAGTTATGACATTTTCATCAACTGAATGTTGAAAGCACATATTAAGTAGCTTTTTCACTCAGGTAAAGGTTGCATATGGCAACTCTATATTGAAAACATTTTGAAGCAACAAAGTTTTGTTTAGAAATTCTGTTTACTTGTTTACACACTGAATTGAATGCTATTAACGACTTGTATATATGGTGTTTTGAGTGTTCCTTGACTGACCACAGTGAATCTATGCTTTATAGGTTTTGAAAAATATGTGGTACTGATGCTACTAATCTCTTATTTTGAATTACTCAGGAGACACTGTTATTAAAAGAGTGCTAACATGGAATTACACATTTCTAGCTTGAAAAGCTATTTTATGCAAGTAAACATAAAAATGCTAAATATCTTTGTACCTTTCAGGGTTTGATTATGAGATAGTAAATCTGAGAGGTTACTTTTTAAAATGGCCTGGCATGGCCAGGTGGTTAGGACGCTCGACTCGCAATCTGCGGGTCTCGGGTTTGCATCCCCATCCCACCAAACATGCTCGCCCTTTCAGCCGTGGGGGCATTATAATGTGACGGTCAATCCCACTATTCGTTGGTAAAAGAGTAGCCCAAGAGTTGGTGGTGGGTGGTAATGACTAGCTGCCTTCCCTCTAGTCTTACACTGCTAAATTAGGGACGGCTAGTGCAGATAGCCATCATGTAGTTTTGCACGAAATTCAAAACAAAACAAACAAACTTTTTAAAATGTATTAAGTAACATAATATTTTATTTATAGGGCTGAACATTACAATTGTTTTAGATGGACTTCATGTCATGCACTTAGATTACTTGATAGTTGCAAATCAAGTCATTTGCAGTTCCAAAAGCTGATCATATAGGTAATAAAACATTTCTTGTAAGAGTTATAGAGCAATGTGTCACGTGTTGTTGGCTATGGTATTAATATTATTAATGCGAGAAAAAAGTGATTTGATATTTCCTTCCTTGGGTTGAGTTCATTTAAGCTTTAGCTGTTTTGTTTACTTAATCTCATTGTAAGTTACATATAACAATTTTAGTTAGAACATATTGAATAACTGAACAAAACTCTTGATATAAAACACCATAGCACTTTTGATTTTTTTTTTCTCCAGAAGGGTGGCTGCTGTTCTTAATGATTTTCTTAGACTTATTCATAGTTTTCTGTTGAAATTACTAATGAATATTGTGTATTTATTAATAAAGTTTTTAGAGGTTTACTTAACCTTTCAGGAATACCAAGTCAACAAACGTGCATCACGTGACATTGCCACACTTACAGATGATGATGAGATATTTGCCACTGTTGACTCCAGAGGTAACATTCAAGTAACTTTAAAAACTCATCATCAATCTGTTTCAACTGACAACATTGAAGAAGTCATTGATGATGATCCATTTGCAGGTAACTGCCTGTTTTGACTTAGTATGAACATTTAGTTTTTTGTTTTTTTTTCTATTTCTTTTGCCTACTAGTCTTGATTACATTAAGTAAACGTTGATGTATCATAATTAAAAATGATTTTATTAATCTGCACTGGTGCTTCAAGAAGACTTTGATTCACGATTTGGGTTCATTTTCCATTTTCTTTCAACAAATTTTAAAGGATTGAAATTCAAAATATCCTGTAGACTGAAAAAAAGTACATAGATTGTATTTAAGACTAACAGTATTTCAGTAGTGATGCTGTTTTGGGTTTCAGTTATCATATGTGGTAGATACAGTTCTATCACTTTATATTAATATTTCTCATGAAAGATGTTTATTAATTTGATATTAACCATTTCTCAAAGAGGCATTATATATTCACAAGAATTGGGAAAAAAATTGAGAAATTTGATGAAATATAAGAAATTTTATCTTTGATTTATTTATTGTATATTTCATTGAAGGAAGGACCTACAAACCATTTATCATTGAATTCAGTGTAAAAAATACTTATCAAAGTCCACTCATGTGGTCTCTGGGAATAGAAAAAGCAAGTATACCAAATAATCCCCTATGGTATGCAAGGGGGCTTAAAGACCAACTTCATGTACACATTTGCATAACTTTAAAATGTGTAAATTCTGTTTGCTTCCAGTAGTTTGTATCTATAGAAATAATTACCATTTATAATCAGCATTTGTCTATATGATGACAGTGATATGCTGTTATATTTATGTAAAAAAATGACAAAATAATTGTTGATAGCCAGTTGAACTTGCTGTGAAAATCTTGTTTCATTTCTTTTCCGAATATTTTCCTCAGTGTTCTTCCTTTTGGTGCTTAAATTTGATTGTAACATATGTCATATTAATATTTAAATATACCTACCATTATATATTGGTATTTTGTAGGACTCTGTCGTGGTTCAGTGTGTCCTGAGAATTCCAGTGCTGATTTTAAAATTTCATTCCATGTAAGGAGCCCTAAGGGACCATCTCCTCCTTCTAGAAAACCACCAATTCCTCGAAAACCTCGAAACATATATGAAAACATTGGAATTCAAATGGAGAGTATAGAGAAGAGTAATGTTGTATCAGAAAGTTCCACTGATGGAAAGTTTGATAATCAGAATAGCTTATCTGTAATGAGTCCTTTTGATGAAAATGCTGAATGGGCTGAAATTGCAAATATTATGGCTTCTTTTGGAAGTGGAATAGCACAAGAATCAGTTTTTACAAGTGAGATGGAAGAACATTTTACAAATGTTCTATCTTTAGATAAGAAAGGTAATCAGCTTGTAAGCACCAAACAGACTGAATTACTAATACCGAGTATAACACTCAGCTGAACATGTGACAGTATGCTGAGTTGAGGACACAAAACATACCATAAAGAATGAATTACTTAACACGGCCCAGTTTTCAACAAATCAGCAGCCATCATTATCAATTACTTTCATTCTGTCTCACTCATAGCCAGTTGTCAGCAAAACAGAACTACCATAAACAACTAGCTTTTGTACTTTGCACACATTCCAGTACAGTGTGTGTCACATGCTCAACCTGTTGCACATATCCACATTATACTCCTAATACAAAGTCACATGGAATAAGTTTATCTTGAACAACTTACAGTATTATAAGCCTAAACAAATTATTCTTCAGGTAAATTACTTGTGTATTAAGAATTTAAGTGCACAACACTATGTAGCTAATTAAAATCAATAGGGAAGCATACTAATTATGACCATAGCTGATGTGACATATATAAAAAATATGCTTGTTTTGAGATGCCAGCATTCCAAACTGATATAATGAAATTATAAACCCTTTCACCCTTTCCATCACAAATCAACATTTTTATCAGGTGGAAGGAATAAATCAAATTTACTGGAGAGGATCAATGACAAGAAAAAACAATCCATATTGCACGAGGATGTAATTAAGTGAGGGAAGAAGTTGTAGCCACAACCAAATCTGGGAGTAGGTTAAAGTGTAAAATGCATGTATATGAAGGAAAGAAAAACAGAAGTTCAAACTTCTTCTAGAGCAATATAAAGAAGAGTTGAAAACCACACTAATTGGGTATTAGGTAACACACACACACACACAAATAATTTTTACTGTATCAACGTCAGAGTTAGAAGGAATAGATCCTGTATGTTCAACAGAACCTAATAAAAAACAGAAGAAACAATTCTTAAACATATTTAATGAAACATTTCAAAATATACACATTGGGGGTAATACACAAATTATGTACATGCAAGCTGGAAGAGTATTAAGAAAGTGATAAAAAGTACTGCAGTTTAACAGTACATGTTTATAAGATTTATAAACAAAATATGTTAGGTTTTACATGTATATAAGAAAAAATAATTTGAAATAAAATTTTAGTGTAAGGTTCTAAGGTTATTGTTTAAGAATGAATGCTCATTCAGCATCAGTAAACTTTCTTTAGTAAGTAATTCCTGGTTGGAGGAACATGGAGTTATAAGTTTGAAAGTTTGAACAGAAGTAGTATGTTTGGTGTTTTCACTGTGTATGCAAGTAAGAGAAGGACAAGTATTTCAAAATGATTGGTTATGTTTGACTCACCTATATATATGTTCATAAACACATATTTTTAATTAGGTTTTAATAATATAAAGTGATAAAAACCCTATAACCCAAGCACTTTCGAAAGGTGGATCTTTCTCCTTCAGGGGCAAACTGGGATAATATAGGTAGCCTTACAGTCACCACAAGTATATTGGTAGATGACCCATGAATGTAGAGAAATAGGCAGAAGGTTCTTTGTTTCAACCTTGTTGATTTGAAAACCAAGTTTAATTTAATTTTTGAAATTGAGTTCTAATGATAGTGCTTTGTTTGACTAAGAAAGGAAGGTTAACAATTTACAGAAATCTTGAGGCAGTGCAGGGTTCCTTAGCAGGCACATTTATATTTTTCAGGAATGTTTATATACTTCAAAGACAACATTTATAAATGATTAGATAAATCAAATAATTTATAAACAACAGTTACAATTGATTTGACAGGAAAGATACAAAAGATACATGTAATAAAGAAATTGATTCTGTTAAAAAGTAATATATCTCTGCGTGTGTGTGTGAATGTATCAGTACAAATTGTATGATTAGGAATTTGTCAGCATTTCTTTTATATTAATCTTTACTATAAAAACGTAGATTCTCTTGTTCATTAGTGCTGTTATGATGGTAATGTTTTCTTATTTGCTTAAGCTGTTGCATGGTAGTTTTGTTGCCAATTTTGGACAACATTTTTGCTCTCTCTGGTGAGATCTATATCCTAATTGGAATTTAAAAGAAAATATTGAGTAATACTTTAGGCATTGTAGTAACAATTCATAGGGTTTATTATGTGCAGTTGGAAAGAGATCTGTTCACATCAATTTAGGATTATATTTAGAACATTAAGCCATTTTAAAGCTAGGGTTTTGTGTTACTTCTATTGAGATTTTGTTCACCAGCACATTAATGTGTTTTTATGTTGTCATACAATCATAAAGTTTGGAAATATTTTTTTTCTTACAGACATCTAAGCCATTCTACTGAATTGTAACATGTAAGGGATTGTTGTTTTTGAAGAATAAACCTGCACAGAGTTTATGAGTAAAATGAAACATGAAAAATAGTTGTCTTTTTAACATTTGGACTTAAATCATTATTCCTGTCAAATAAATATGTTTCTTATCTTTTTGGGATTACAAAAGCATCAGAAATAAAGAAATTCAAAACTGTGGAGGAGTGGCTGATATATCTTGGACTATCTCATTATGAAAACCTTTTGATTAATAATGGGTTTGACGACATGGAGTTTATGGTCAGTTTAAAAGCTTTTCTGTATTAATTCAGTTAATTTCTTTAAAGATGAAGTTTCATCCATACAGAAATTTGAGATTTTAAATCTACTCAGGAATTGGAATGTATATGAAATATATTTTATAAAATCTAGTTTCTTCATGTATTTTATTGTATATATATATATATATAGAAAATATCATACTATAGATTAGCTAACTAGCTCTATACTTTAATACTAACATTATATGGCCTAAATGTATAGACTTTTCAGCTTTTATCTTTTGACTCTTTTGCTTTCCCATTTATATATAACAAAAACCAAACCATGTTAAATACTCCTATATACGTTGCTGGTGACTTGTTTCTCTTGATAAGTGGTAGGCTGTACAAGCTACTGGTTTCTGACTGTAATGAAAATTTTGTTCCTCATCTAATTTAGCATTTATGAATTAATTACAAAAAACATTTTTGGTAGAAACAACACTAAATTATTGTATTTTATAAAGTATGTTTTAGTTGGAAACACTGTTGTTTGTTTTAGATGATATTGTTACCACAGTATAACAAAACATGATCATGACAAACTTTAATTGAGATAAAGATGGATTTTAATCACATATTCTTGTAATTTATTGTAGGGAGGAAACATTGTGGAAGATGAAGACCTTAAGAATATTGGCATTTCTAATAAAGAACAAAGAGAGGAAATTTTAGATTATTGTAAAAAGTTACGACCTATTCAGCCAATAGTAAAAGATGAAGAAAAGATAAGAATGCCTGAATCAGTAAAACAGTGGTTAAAGTCTTTACATCTTGAAATGTATTATGATACTCTACAGAAGAATGGCTACACAGATATGAAAAAAGTGTTGAACATCTCTGAAGTTGAACTGAATACGGTACTACTCCTATCTTAGAGAAATTTAACAATTAAAATTAAGTAATTATTTTATCATAAATTTATTTGACTGAAACTAGTCAAATTCCTATCAAATTAAAGTTATTTTGATTTAAATTGGGTGAAAAACAACTGATAATATTAAAAAAATGTTTCTTTAAATGTGAATAATTTATTAGCTTCTAGCATTTATAAAGGTAGAACTTCATCAAATTTTCTTGAAAATTATCAGTACTGGATTGTTTTTCTAATATTGTATGATATCTTAGTTATTGATATTCTGTTTTTTAACATTTTTACAGCTAATTAAAATGCTGAAAATGAGATTCTTTAGATGGTATTTTATAATTCAGTGTGGAATTCTTCAAGTTTTGAGTGAAAAAGAAAAAGTCTCAAATTAATCATTAATACAATAAATAAATAAATAGCTTTCTTCACCTTAGTTATTACTTCTTTTTGCCTGATTTACCTAAATAGAACTATCTTGTCTATATCTAGAAAATGAACTTTCCATGCTAGTAAAGTTTTGATTTTAACAATTCTTAAGATAAAGAGAAAAGGAGTATTATTGTTTTGAAAGTAGACAAACAGCATTCTACATCAATTCTTTGTGGTATTGAATATAATAAACCATTTTACATGATCCAGATGGTTTTTCTTTATTCATTTAGACCCCAACATCTGAAAGAGATAAATGTTTTGATGTTAAACTTTTGGTTTAAGATAAAACTTAAATTGATTTTTATGAACTAAATTGTTTCATTTCTAATAATAACTTTTAAACTTCTCAAATATATGGCCTAAATAAAGTTCACAAGGGAGTTTACTGATTATTTCATCATTTTACTATTTTAATTACAAGTTGAGAAAAGTCTTAGCTTGGTGAATTATAGTCCCTTATGTTACTTCTTCTTGTAATGAAACTTTTATTCTGCAGTAGCTAAAAAATGATCGAAATTCAATGCCAAGATTCTATACAAAAACAAAGCAGCAACTTTTACACTAATTTTATAATTATGTTTTGACCCATAGTATCGAGACATCATCAAGTAAGTGGTACGATCAAAAATGAAAAGTTATGTAAAATATCAACATAATAATAAACAAAAATGAAGGAACCTCACAAATTGCTTATAATAATAATGTTAAAATTATGTTGAGTTTATCATCTGAAATAATTTAATCATTTAGCTAAGATGATTAGTTATGATATAGTATCTCTCTATATCAGTGTACCAGTTTCAGAAGCCATTAACATAGTGTTGGATTTTACTGATCTGATGATTCTAATACTAGTACTACTATATGTAACTTTCAGTTCTAGGGAATAAATCTTCCTGAAAAAATCTGAGTTAGGTGTAGACAATCCATTATCTGCTGTTTTATTTAATATCAAAACTGAAACTGTTGCATTCAGTACTGATTTATACATTCCTTCCTACGAAGTGAGTTTTATTTATGAGATTTTTGTTGGTCATTCTTCAGAAATACATGATATTTTTTTTCATTTGTTTGTTTAATACTCAAACAACATAAATACAAGTATTAAACTCACACATGTAACAGAAGATTATAATAAGCTATAATTGTTAATGTTACAAAAAATACCACAAACTTTCATACTTATTTCATTGAATTGTTGCTCACTGTGCTTCTCATAAACAATAATAAATATTTTACATAACACTAAAATTACTTGAACTAAAAATTTGTCTCAACACTTTATATTATGGAATACAAAATGTATTAATTTGATGAATATTTCACTATATATATAAAATATATATAGATAAATATATAATAGTCATATTAATATTATATAATATTAATAGTAAATATAATAGTCATAGAGGTGTTTAGTATGGTTATTTGATACAGAAAAACTTAAAGTCCAGTATGAGGTATTTCTAGTGAGTGACAACAACAAGTGTGTCATTTCCAAGTGTTGCATATTTACACTGTAACTTGTATCAGTTTTTTTACTGTAAATAAAGCCTGATTATGAGATCTAATTTATGATGAATTCTTGTTATCACTCCTACAGGTATTAGAGATCAACAAACTTGGTCATCAGAAAAGAATAATGGCATCTCTTGGAGAAAGAAGTTCAGAACAGTATATTGGTGAACTAGAAGATTTTGACCTTTTAAAATTGGTATGCATTTTGGCAAAAAAAAACAGCAAGAAATATCTGCTTTTTAATACAGAAATGCTTATAACACAAAGTTAAAAATGAAATATGATTTAGTAAAGTAGAATTACTTTTATTATAATCATATATCTGCTTGTATAGCTCAACTGTTTCTTTTCATGTGTAGAAAAACTTTAAGTAGTTACAGAGATGTCAGATGTTATTATTATTAATAATTAATCTTATGTAATCAATTTTGGATAACTTTAGAATTTTTTTAATATTTCATTGTGGTATACGATTCATTAAAACCTTTTAAAACAACATTTTTGAACATTTAGTATTGATTATAACATGTCACCAAACATGTTGGTTTGTAATCCATAGAAAAAATAATTAAAACTGAAATCACAGTATTTATTTATTTTTAGTGCTAATGCATTATGAACTAAGATAAAACAGTAGAAATGAAACTAATAAGAAAATTAAAATTGTAAAAAAAGTCAAGAGAATATGGCATGTTTAATTTTTTGTTTCTTCACATAATCTGTTATTTAGTAAAGCTGCTTAATTTCCAAGTAAATATATTTATTTATTTACATTTAAATAATCTATTTCAATTGAAAAATTACCAGTAGTAGTCCATCAGCTTGCTAGATATATTTCTATAACTTATTCCCCAGTTAAGTCTGAGGGCTTATAATACCAAAAATCAGATTTCAATATCCACCACATTGTAAACATAATTATAATAGATAATGGTCTATCTGTGCAGTTCAAATCATACTGAACCTTAACTTCTGGTTTATAAGCTTCCAAGCTTACTGCTGAGATTGGTCATATCATATTGAGTAATTGTAGGTTTTCATATGTTAGAACAACTGGGGTAAAGAACTGATCAAAAATTTGTGTGGAATCACTCAAATTCTGTGTAAAGTACACATAAAATGAGTTACTACATGTAATGTGATCAATTGCAGAGTTGATAGCATTTCTGTTTAACTCGTTTTGTGTTTCAATGTTGTTAAGACAACAAGTCATGAACCACAATCAGTTTTGTGCACAAATAGTTTTGTTTGTTTGTTTATTGTTGAGTACAAAGCTACACAATGGGTTATCATTTGTTTTGGATCCCATTGGTAGTGAATGATATAAAAACAAGTCAGTATAATTTGAAGATTAACCTGATAAATTCTGTTGAAGATGTTGCATTAAAACTCTCTTTAAGTAATTGTTTACTTTTGATAACAAATTACCAAATTTATAAGAAAAAACACTAGACATAAAAGGTAAATAAACTACACTATTTAGAGTATTAGTTTGAATTAATGGCTTGATTTGTAATTAAGAAACTGTTTTTAATACTTTATTACTCCATCAATGATAATTACTTCAAAAAAAAATAGTGATAGAAAGTGAATAATACATTCTTTATGAATCTTTTTTTATTGTATACTTTTTAGTTTGCTAGAATAAAGGTTTTTGAGTGAATCAGTGGATATATTATATATCACTTGTTCTGTGAACATGAGTAGAGGCTTTATTTTAAGTATTTCTTTAAGTTGTACTAAAACTGTGTCATTTCTGACTGTAGAAAATGTTATGATAATTATGTTTATACATATTCCTCCTGTGGTACTGGATTATACAAATTCGTTTTAGATTAATAAAATTTGTAAAAGCAATACACCATTTAAATCACAATTATTTATTATTGAAAAAAAAGATAGTTTGTTATAAGTTTTAACCACATTTGTTCGGGCCATCATCAGGCAAAATGAAAACACATGAGACAACAGTATTTATACTGTATTTAAAAAATATGTTCCAATAAAAAGTGGTACATGTCAATTTTAAATTAACATTCTATTTAAATGAAAGAAGATCAATAAAATAGAATATTAAAATAAATATAAAACAATATACAAAATAGATTGTTAATAAATATCTATTACACACACACACACATGTGAAAACTACATATTTTACTTTCCATGAAATTTCCTTTAAGGAGTTTCACACTCCAAGTTCATTTGATTATTTCAACTTCTCTTTGTCTTGACATAGAGTATCTTCAATCTCTATAGGATTTTACTTCTATAAATATGAAAAATAATTTTGAAAGAAACTTTTCTTTCACCAAGAAGGGTTTCTTACTCTTATGTATTTTTTAGAATAAAAATCTTGGTGACATAGTAATGGAAGAAACGCCTTCTGCAGACACTATTAAAGATACTGGACTGTTTAAAGACTTCAATAAAGCTATATCCACAAGAAAGCAAAATAAATGTTCACAATTATTGGAACTATCAAATGGAAGCAGGGGAGAATTGAAAATCCGACCCCCTACACAATTGATGAGTGAACCAGGAACCAAGGGAGCACATTCACCACAACAACAGTTGAGTAGGATCCCTGGTTACTTAACAACTCAGTGGCGCCACCGACCTGATGTCCTGATTAAAGGAAACTGCAGTTATAAAGCACTGGTAAGAGTGCATAAAAATGTTGTTTAATAGAAAGTTTCCAAAGAAACTGTGCAAAGAAAATCATGTTAAGACCTTACTTAGATCCATCCTAATATAATTGAAAATCCATGCAATGGTGGAAGTTGTTGCTTGTTACTTTAATCCGAAGTTGCAGTTAAAGGATGTGTAGTAGTGTTACTCTCTGGATCTGATTTTGGAGGGGGGAGGGAGGCTATACAACAATTAGGTTGATATTGATTAACTTTAGAAAACCAATTTTACTTGAAGTAATTTTGTGCTCAACTGTGTGTGGATTTAATGATTTACTTTCTTATATTTCTTTTTTGTATTGTTTAAATTCCAAAGTTTCCATAAGCCTTGTTATACACCCAAGTCAATGTTATCTTGTAATGACACTTAGTGCTAGAGATAAATTTTGAAATTTTTATATTAACTATCTTTAGTGAACAACATGATTAAGATTCTTAGTTCATTGAATGAAAAAGTAAATACTGTTCATCATTTTAACTGTGATTACAGATTTGAGTATGCAGTTCAATGTATTACTAGGTGTTTAGAGTTTATGCTTGCAGTTTTCTTCATCTGACACTTTATCCAACTTTTTTTTTTTTATTAAATGTATATTAGTGGTCAAGTAACTGTTTTCACTTTACAGTATCTGGGGTCAACCCTAGTAAAGGAGCTAAAGGGACTGGAATCTACCCGAAAATCTATACAAAAGCTTAAGCTGTCTACAAGAGGGATTGTAAAAGCTCCTAATGTCCTGCTGTCTATCTCATACACGGGTGTTAAGTTTATTGATGGCCGAAGTAAGGTATGATACTTTCCATGACTTGTGTATAAGATCCTCACTTTGGAGCAAATAGAACTTATATATTATAAAACTACTTTTAGCAACATACCTAATTTTAAATTGTGGATCAGACAAAACAACAAGTTTCTGCTTTTTTATTTAGGTTGTTAGTTGTAGATTAGTTTTGGATTTTTTTTCAATAGTGAAGTTGTTCAAGTTATGGATTGAAAACTTTGGAGTAAAGAAATTTTTATTTTAAAATACTATAGAAAGTCTCTCTCATAAGTGGTATTTTTGTTCCACTCATTAAATCAAATTTTGTCTTTGGGTTCACACTTAAGTATTGAAATTAAAATTTCAAATATTACATCTAAATGTTTATAGATATATACACCTGGAAAAAAGTTAAGCACCCCCGTGTTTTTTTCAAGTGATTCAGATTCGACGTTCTTGTG